TAAATTATCCACAAATAAACAAAAACATACAAAAATAGAAATATTCATAAATTGAATTAATCTCTTGTTTTCAAATCCCAAATATGATGAATGAGTGTTATATAGCGTCGCAAACATTTCTCTTTTTGAAAATAGTAGCAAATTTATATGAAATTTTCCCGTCATATTAGTTCCCAGTATTATTTATTTAAATTATAATTTAGAATGAATTAAAAATTATACTTAAATCATTGTATACTTAATTTCGGAATTTTAAATTTATATAACAATCCAATACTTATTTTTGTGTTTTATTTATTTAATTATTTTAAGACTTTCCACAATTGTTTTTGTACCGAGAAATTTGTTAAGAATTTATTTTTCTCAAATTTTATACTGTTAAATAAATAAAGAAAACATTTATAACAAACATTTATAGAGTTTATTTTAAATACAATACACAGTAAAGTAAATAATAATATTTAAAGCACTTTCTATTGACTAAAAATCAAACAATAAATTGAATATTTAATTTACATATAATTAAAAATAATTGCATTTATTGCATATTTTGTAAAATGATTATTTAAGTTGAGGTTTGAGAAAAAAGAATTAGTTGTGAGAATCGAAATGTGCATGGTCATATAGGATATCGGTTTAGTTGACAACTATTCGTATGTATAATAAATCAATAAATTATTTATAAATAGATTTACGGATATATCGTGTAATTCAGTCAACATTTTTGAAAGTTTATTGTGATATTTATCTGTAATATATATCAGAAAAAGACAATTGAATATATTATGAGAGAATATATGACTAAATTCACATACATTTATACCATATTCTGTCGATTCTATACGATATTAGAGGCGAAAATGTAATTTTAATTTAAAATATAAAAAACGTGATTTTTATCACTGCTTTATATTTCTCAAAAGGGATTTGATTTCAACAAATGAATGAGTGCTGAAATATAAGCTACAATCCGATGAATCGGCAATAGATTTGGTAAATGACTTGAAAGAGAAATTGATTTCATGTATAATTTTAACAAATGATGTTGAAATCAACGGATCGTAAGCTTTTTTATTCTCCAATACCTTAACTGTTATTCTCTATATTATATAACAAATCAAAATAATTGTCTTTTGTGTTCACAATAGTTTGAGCGCAGGTTCTGTTACTCACATAATCTGTGATCTATTTATACAAAATTCTCGATTAAATATTCTCCTATTGTTTGCTTTTGTCTGATATTTTTGCACCAAATATATCTATTTTTGATTTCTAAACACAAAATAAACATTTTTCTTAAAATTTCAATAATGTTCACTACTGTACTGTATATTAGATTAAAATACTACAATACTATACGATTGCTAACAAAATATATTTATAATACTATACTTTACATTATCTAAAATTGAAATAATCAATTATTAAATTTAGCATAGAGCGATTAAACTTTCAATTATTAAAAGTTGGTTTAAATTTTTAATAAAATATTGATTCGCACAACCAGAACTTGTTAGTTTTATAATGTACGTGTATTATTAAATGATGTACAATTGTCTACTTTGCATATGATGACAATAGGAGTCGGATTGGTTCGATCAGTACTCGTGGTCGCTATTCAAAGCCATGTCACATATGCTATGCATAGGTTACGGCCGTTTCCCTCCTCAAAGTCTAACAGATATGTGGCTAACTCTGCTCAGTATGATATCGGGGGCCACTTGTTATGCATTATTTCTCGGACACACAACTAATCTCATCCAATCGCTCGACTCCTCGAGACGTCAATATAGAGAAAAAGTATATTTATTTCAATTTCTAACGCAATAAAACACTGTATTTTCGGTCAATTACTGAAAATTAGTAATAAAATCCGCACTAAATTATCGCAATTTATTTGCCTTAAATGCTTAATCTCTATGACTTAATACCATAGCTTAAACAAGTTGAAGAGTATATGGCGTATAGAAAATTACCCCGAGATTTACGAGTGAGAATCGGTGACTATTTTGAACATAGATACCAGGGCAAGTTTTTCAATGAAGACACTATTCTCGATGAATTGTCCGAAAGGCTTAGAGAAGTATTGGATTATTTGCATTAACGCCTCAATTATAGCTCAAACTAACGATTAAACGATTGTCTTATTTGTGTGTCAAAGGATGTCATTAATTACAATTGTCGGGCATTAGTGGCTTCGGTGCCATTCTTCGCCAACGCGGACACAGATTTTGTCAATTCAATTGTCACGCGTTTAAAATACGAAGTCTTCCAACCGGGAGATATCATCATCAAAGAGGGAACCATTGGTAACAAAATGTTTTTCATACAGGAAGGCATCGTTGATATAGTGATGAACAACGGAGATGTGGCCACCAGTTTGTCCGACGGCTCCTATTTTGGAGGTAAGCGTAGGAATAATTGTAATTTTTGGTTGTTTACGATCGCCCACTCAATTCGTGTCTATTCTTTCAACACGAGTTGATCTATGGCTACATATAAATATATTTTATAAACATATTTAGATAAATGATAGAAATTGTATTAAATATCTCTATAAATAAACAGTACTATTAAACGCAGAGATAGAGAGGATATTACACAAAATCTATTAAATTTTATTCAAATCTGACAAGTACTCGAAAATATGTTTTTCTACCAAATTATGTCTAAATATAACTTATATAACATAAATATTATTTAATTTAATGTTAGCAAACAAATTATATGTAATGGATTTAAAGTCCGACATAAATTTAACACAACGTATAGTTTGGTTAATAATCTTAAATCAAGTGAATAAAGATTTTTTTGGTGAAAGCATATAAGTTTGAATCCGGTATTTCTCCAAATAGTATAAGACGTCTAAATCACAAATCTTTCATTTAATAAATAAGTGTTATTCATATAAATATAAATAATTTCTGACAATTGATGATGTGTTGAATCCAAACAGAGATATGTTTGCTAACAAACGCCCGACGGGTGGCCAGCGTTAGGGCGGAAACGTATTGCAATCTATTCTCGCTGTCTGTCGAACACTTCAACGCTGTCCTCGATATGTATCCACTGATGAGGCGGACAATGGAGTCGATCGCCGCCGAGAGGCTCAACAAAATCGGCAAAAATCCTAGTATTGTCTGTCAGAGGGAAGATCTGCAGCGAGATCTGCAGGCCGTGAGTGAATTCCTCACACTTTCCGCTCAAAGTCCCAGCGAAGACAGTGAGAGCGAGATTAGTCTCTTTAGATCATCTAAATTAGCAGAGATGGGTCTCAAACGACCCAAATCTGAGTCATGTTTTTCCCGTTTCAATACAACAAACGGCGCCGAAGTGTTGAATTTAAGGCCCGACTCATTACAGCGATCCGAGACTTTTTTCCAGTCGGTCGCCGCCGGTCTCTCCGCTGCACACGACTCCTCTCATACACACCAATAGACTCAATAGTTAATGAAATGTTTTGTTAATATTATTACCAAATTCAATGATAATGTAGTTTTTATATAACAATTAATATATATAACAATCAATTTGTTCCTCAAATATTTTTAAAGTTTTGTTAAGTTTTTAGGCAATAAATCCACTATTTTTCGCATTTTGAAATCAAGCAATCAATACATCATTCAATGAATCTCTTCATCAAAATAGTATCCGTTATATAAATGAAGGAATGAATTATAACTAAACAATCAAAACTATAGCAACTTTACATACATAATGAATTCAATGCACAAATAAAATGTTAATTTATTGTAAAGTTTTTAATGTTAATGAATCGTTATTATAACAGCACTACTAATAGTAACTCAATTGCAATAAATATTTAATATAATTAATTAAATATAAACTAATAAAATAACTAATTATAACTAAAAAATGTCATATGTTTTGAATTATTTTCATATATGATTTATGTATATAATAAATATAGTTTTCAATTTAAATAGTAATTGTTATTAAAAATAATTTTAATGATTATTAAGGAGTTTTCATATTAAAATGAATTGATTGAACGATGTGATTGTGATTATTATAAGTCCAGCAAATTTTAATTTTAATAAATAAAATATTACATTTGAATTTTAATGATTTGTATGTATGATATAGTAAATTAGTCCAATATATCCATAGATCAGCCATTCAGTCCCCTTAACGGTCTTAACTTATAATATGCATCAATACTTTAGAAATAAATTAAATAATATAACAGATTAAACAATTTAAATATAATGTATTAAGACTTGGACTAGAATTGCTGATCAAAGGGTCTATTGATATTACTATTTACTGGACATTATAATATACACGTTATATTTATTGTTTATTATATTTAGTAATTAGAAATTCTTATTTATTAAATGTATATAAATTAATTGCAATAAAATATTTATTATAAAATCAACTTCAATTAACAGGTAATATCTTAAAACAATTTATTTTAAAAACATTTATTTATTCTATACCCAAAAATGAATACAAACTACAAGTAATTCGCAAACGAATAACATTTTATATAATACAGTGGGAAACTTTGTTTTATACCGGTAATGAGAAAATAAATAATTAATTTTAAGATTTGAACATGTTTTTACTAATGAAATCTATGCTTTACTGGACAATTCACATCAAGTTTATGGCCTTTGAATTGTAAACATTTAATTATAACACAAATACCCTTTTATTAATTGAAATAGAAATGAACGCAATTTTTATTTCACTCAATTGTAAAGTTAAACACAGAATTGTGTAGAATATTCTGGTGGTATATACAGTCTGAATGTCATAACCCATAGGCTATAGCTTTATAAAGGGAAAATATATAAAGAAATCAATCAATAAACTAGGTTTTTGTCTTTTCATGTAATATAAACGCAATGGAAATAAACAGGAATTTGAAATTCTTGAACTCAATCTATATCTTAAACTTAATTTCATTTACAATATTTGGGATTTTTGGTGAAAAGTTCCTGAGGTTTGACATAAAAAAATATGAAATTGTATTTTTCTGGTAAAGAAACTATTATTTATCTCATTGAAAATTCTGATGCGCTCTTCTATTCAATAAATCTATTGAATAACAATGTGTTTCAAAATATAAAGAATTTACTTAATAATTAAATTATAGGTAGAAATAAAATTTTGAATATTAAATTCAATACTAAAACCTAAATATACGATAAATTAATGAAATTACGCCATTATTTGACAAAAAATAAATAATTTGACGCCAATTCTGTTTAAATATAAAAAATATTTAGTAATTAAATCAAAAGTCTTACTTTTATTGAATACAAAAATAATAGTTTAAATGGTATAAGAAATCGATTTCTAATTAACAAATGGATTCCATATATAATTAATGTTTTTTATTAATCGCTTGAGTATTAAGTGTTTTAAAGAGGTTTTTGTGATAAAATACTAAAAGTAATCACTCGAGAGAATACTTTAAAAAATACAAATTATAATATTTATATTATAATTAAAATGAGAATACGTTTTAATACAAAATAAATACTTTAAAAATTAATTGAAAATAAATAAGTGCTAAAATGTAGTGTATATACAAAATAATATAAAGGTGTGACAAATGTAATAATATGTGATCAATTTTATTACACTATAAGTTTCAGTAGTAATCACTTGTAGCCATGCTGTGTGTCTCGCTTTCAAATACGAGTTCGTATGATAACTATATTTACAAATAATAATTTGTGTCATTATATGTGCTGTAATTAACAGAACAGAAATGTAACATAAATTTAGTTTAATTTCCATTTAATTCAAATAGATTGCGATGTTTTGTCATAATGTGAATGCAAACCATTTAACAGTGAAAAACTGTAATCTATTATAGGTTGGAATGAGTTTACAGTGACTTCTTTTGGCACGACTTAATGAAAGCCATTCCGTGAACCCTTCCGTGAATCTTGAGTTCCTTAGAATCCGCAAAACTTTGGCAACAAATCGGACAAATCGTGTCCTTCGAGTCTTCGCTGTCCAATATCTGCGACAGTCTCTCCTCTCCGACCTCTTTAGGCAGTTGTGGTTCAGTGGCGACAGAAGTGACGGCAATCTCGACGTAAGTGTTACTCATATAACTCTCGACGTCATGGATTCGGTGCTCAAGAATTAAGTGTCGTTTTAATGTCTGAACGAATGGAAAGCTAAGATCACATTCATTACATTTCAGCGAATTGTCATTCGCTGTGGCCTTTTGTGTGTCGTTCGCACTCTTGTTATGGTCACCGCAATTGCTTTTAACGCTACTCTCATTGTTTGTCTTCAGCCGTTTGGTCGACAAGTCATTCATAGTTTCGCTACTCTTTCCGTTCAGGTCTGAAATCTTTCGCTTCTCAAGAGTAGTGTTATTGGCAGCGAAACTGTCGTCGCCGGCGGTCTTCGGGTGTTTCGCACAATTGAGACCGACTTTCAATTTGAAGACAGCGGTTATCTTCTCAATCAATTGAGTCAAAAAGTCTTTGTCTTGTGTTTGCGATTTGGTATTTATGTGAACAGTATTTAAATGTGTTTTCAATTCAATTTTGTTGGCAAACGATTGGTCGCAATCGAGACATACGAACACAAAGTACGCAAAATCCGAGAACTTCTTCCGATGAGCGGTCAAGTGATCGGAATAAGTGGTCAATGAATTCACTTCTTGGCTACAAATGGGACACTTGAGAGAAACCAATGCTTTAGAGTCCTTACACTCGGTCTCTGTTTGGTGTCGATTGAGATCAGAATCGGCGGCCAATAGTGACAGGCATTGAGAGCATCGGTAGTGATGTGTTGTGTGGTCTGATTTGATGTGTTTGGTCATCGCTGGAAGTGTTGCCACTTTGTCCGAACAGAACAGACATTTATAGATCAAACGGCGGCTAAAATGCAGACAATTAACCATTAAATGATTCATGAGATCTTTGGGTTGGCTTTCGTCGAGTTTAGCGCCACATTCGGGACAAACTCTGTCCGCGTGACCACCGGTTCCCGCGTGAAGACTGTTGTGAATGCTTTGACTACAATTAGTGGCACATATGGTGGGACAGAGTTTGCACTGATTCAGCGGCACAACCGGCTGTCTGTCTGACAAATGCTGTTCTCGTGTCGACAGACTATTAAAACTATGGTTACATTGACTGCACTTGAGCTCTGAATTAGTGGTCTTTTTGATAACATATTTCTTGGATATGACATCACTGGATGTGTTGACAACTGTTTTGCATTCATTTCTCTTCATTTGAAACACTTTTGGTTGAATGAAACGATTGCTTTCGTCTGAATGTCTGTAAATTGTGTTTTGCTTCAAATGATACCCACTTTGAATGGATTCAATAGTTTTCGGTTCAATCACTGAATCCTTAACACCATTATTATGAGTGCTATTGTTGTTGAGGTTTGCGGTGTGGGAACAGTTGGCGGCAAACAATTGGCTCAAATCGATCGGTTGGACCGACACCTGAGACAATGTCCTCTCGATGTGGTCTCTGTTCTGGTGGTGAGACCTGATGTGCGACAGAAGAGCGCATCGGTTGAAGAATATGACATTCGCTTTGCATTTGTCGCACAAATACGATAAGCGAACAGATCTTCGCTGCAAATGAGTGGTAAGACTCGACTCGTGAAGGAATTCGTCCAAACATTGGTCACACATATACCTCTTCAGCTCACGTCCGGCCAAATCCATGGCCCGTAAGTCGAGTTCCGGTTTCAATGGTTTGACAGCCGGTGTCCCCAACCAGTGGTTCCCAAGTGATGGACCACTCGGACCAACTGATTGGACACTATCGCAGCCACCGGTGGTGTTCATCATCGCGACGACACAGCAATGTCTTGAGCCGTGGGATGTGTTGATGACATGACAATCGTGTGTACGATATGTTGAGCGCAACAAATGTGTCACAAATTATGACAAATCAATGCATTTTCTCAATACTTGTCAAACAATTCAATGATATTAACGATTGTTTCGCTGTTTTGTAAAGCAATACAAACACAACACAAACACTCAATGCATTCATTCATTCAGTGCTCATAAATAACGGCATAATATTTGGCCTCAAATTGTATGCAAAACAATGTTTAGACGTATTGATGACGCAAACAATGTGTTCACTCCCTATACAGTGACCGTACTTTTGGTACCATTTGTTATGTTACGCGATACTATATAAGCCAGTATTGCATATGAAAAAGTACTGAATGTGTTGCTATGAGTTACGCTGTCATCAAATGATTACATAAGAAATTTGTATACATTTTGATAGAAATTATATTTGTTTACGATTTGATTAATTGATTTATTAATTCATTATATAATTATGTATTGCTTTTAATAGACACGTGTGTTATATATAGATGTTGTAAATGTGAGTGAATAGTAATGTACAGTAAAGTTGTGGCAATGAATGGATTGAAGAGATTGTGATTTCATTCAAATGACCAGCGCTTACAATAAGAGCCGTTTTGGGACACAAAGTGGTTATACAAGCGTTAAATACAACAGATTGTCGCCATTTGATGACACATCCAATGATGACATCTGTCTCTTCGACACATCCAATGACACCAATCGTAGTGAATATGAGCTGAAGAGCAGACAGAATGTGTCGTCCGGTGGCGACGAAAGACATGTGAGACAATCGGCGGTGGAGTACATCCCATACGAAGTGAAGTCCGGTGAGAGTCTCCGCGCCATTGCTCTGCGCTATGGCTGTACTGTATCTCAAATCAAACAAATAAATCACTTGATGTCAGACCAAGAGTTTTACGGACTCCGAGTGATCAAACTTCCGGCCAAAAAGTATGGTATTCTCAGCGATGTTTTGGTCCATCAAATCAATAGCCAAAGCCATGACAGTGAGGGTCCGGCCGTCAGTCCCTCATTGATCGTCAATATTGGCATTTCTCAGCATTTGAGTCAAACTAATGGCGAAAATGCGACCAAATTCTTGTCACATATGGACGAAGATCTCCGGCATATGAGACAAAAGACGCAAACTGTGATCGAGAGGTCGACTATTGATAATTTGGAGCAAAACTTAACTCTTAAGAAACATGAGATCCAATTCGCGGATCAGATTCTTCAGAAAAGAAGTGCCTTTTTATCATGTGATGAATCGGATTATGGTATCAATTGGTTTAATCTATTGTTATTAGCATTTGTTTTATGTTTTCTATTGCCTATCGTTTATGTCATATATATTAGTGAATCACATAATCATAACAATAACACTAATAGTGTATCCAATCATCACATCTATTCCTATCACTGAAACATAGTTATCTATTTATATAATGTTTTTAACGAATTTTATTAAAAGTTGATATTTTTATTATAAATGCTTTTACAAAATGTAACTTTTATTGGAAAAAATGAGTTATTATCACAAATGGTGTCAATACGTCGGCCCCTCATCCAAGTTGTCATCCGATTCATCCAAATAGTCCTCTCCGTTGTCGAAGTAGGAGAAGGTATAATCAGTTCCCTATTTATCAATCAATTCATCAGTAATTGTATTGTTTCAACACTCGATCCTCACCTCTTCGATGTCCTCCACTTCTTCCACTTTCTCGGCGTCGGAAGCGTTGTCCACCTCTTCATCGCTTTTCTGATCATCACTTTTGTCGTCCTTCTCTTCTTCTACTAATTTGTCTAACGTTTTGTCCAAATCTTTATTCACTTTCTTTTCGGCCTTTTTCTTGATCTTTGATTTCTTTGGACACAATTCTGTGGGAAATATTCTCCAATCTATTCACACATCAAATGGACACCAAATGAGATGACATTCAAAGACATAAAGACAATAATTAATGAAATACCGATTTGGATGTCATTATCGTTGAGCGACGAGTCGTTAGCGATGTTCTCGTATTTGTCTGAATACCTCTCGATCTGTGGCTTCTCTTTGGATGCGTTGATGTAATACTTGGATGTCATCAACGATTGTCTCAACTCCTGCTTCAATGTCAGCAAATAGTTGTCGATCTCGTTGTGGGGGTCGAGGGGTAGGGGTTTGGCGTCAATCGACGGGTAATTGAGAGGCGGTGTGAGAGTCGGCGGCGGAAGACTCTCTCCTCGACTCAAACCAATCGATTCCAACGAAAACGTCAATGAATTGCCATCTCTTCTCTTACCACCTCTTCCTCCGCCTCTTGACATCACTTCAACTCTTCACTCAATCGATGTCTTCACTCTTATTGTTATCAAAATCACAATAAACTTCACTTTTTGTTGATTTTTTGACTCAAAACTTGTGATTATTAGCAAAAAAAGTCAAATCAAATGAAAACAAAACAAAAACAATGAAATGCTTTGAAGTCGTAATTGATGTCAGTTTTGAGGCATTCATCCAATGATTGCCTGTTTTGACCATTTGTTGTGTTTTTGAGTGAAATTCAAATCTGGATTCAAGTGTTGACACAAATTGACCACAAAATGAGTGATTACTTGATTCACGTGGAAGTGCTTCAGAAGCGACACAGTATTGCCGATGAGTCGGAAATACAGGGTTTGGTCACCGATTGGGTCCACTGTAACCAAGAATGGGATCAAATGGTGAAACAATTGGCCGAACGGAAGGACTCGTATCTATTGATTGATAAATTGCCGAAACAATTGTCCCCTAATGTCGAGGCCATCAATATATCGCTCACTCGTCGATGTGTGCCATCGGATGACACAAGTGGCCACACGTGGCAGTTGTCGGACACAAGCCGTACACTCAAGTACTACTTGTATCGACTCAACTACGATAGCGTTACCACCGATGAGATGGAGACCAATGAGGAACAGTTGCCGTCAGCACAGCATACGATACTGCCGTCCATCGAGTTTCACGGTTTGTGGGAAAGTCTTGTGTACGACCTCCACATCAAAGACCAATTGCTTGAGTTTGTGTTAACGGCACTCATGTTCGCCGACAAAGGAGTGGACAATAAGCTAATCAACTGGAATAAAGTGGTGTTACTTCACGGCCCGCCCGGCACTGGCAAGACATCGCTGTGTCGCGCGTTGGCCCACAAGCTGTCCATTCGTCTGAAACACCGCTACAAGAGTTCGCAACTCATTGAAATCAATTCCCACTCACTCTTCAGCAAATGGTTCTCAGAGTCGGGAAAACTTGTGATGAAATTGTTTGAACGCATCAAAGAGTTTGTCGAGTTTGACGATCAGCTGATTCTCGTGCTTATCGATGAGGTGGAGAGTCTGGCCCACACCAGACAGGTGTCGGCCAATGGCAGCGAGCCATCCGATGCCATACGTGTGGTGAACGCACTGTTGACCCAATTGGACGGCATTAAGAACTACACGAACGTTGTTGTGTTGACCACATCCAACGTGACGGGAGCCATAGACCTGGCATTCGTGGACAGGGCTGACATCAAACAGTACATCGGTTTGCCGTGCGTTGAGACCATTTACGAGATCTATCGCTCGTGTATTCAAGAGTTGGTCAAAACGAGTATCGTTTCGTGCGATGAATCGATTCTGTCTTACAATCAACTCAAATGCTCGGCACAAACGGGCGAAGCGTTGGGCACAACATTTGCCGGTAATTACAAACTGTTGCAAATCGCCGAACAGAGCGTTTCGCTCAGCGGTCGTACTCTCAGGAAAATACCGTTTCTGGCCATCGCTTTGTTCTCTTGCGGACAAATTCCCATTAATTTCCCGCTGTTTCTCGATTTTATGGCCAAAACTGTGACCAAACAATTCGATGACAGAAATGGCCTCAAATGACTTCAATTAACTATAGTTTCAATTAATTAACTCTTTTTTATTTACAGAATATAAACATAACATTAAAATATTTTTAAAAATAGTTGTTTTTTAAACTTCAATAGCGATAAAACTGTTATCAAAACTACTATATATTATAAAACTATAAAATTGTAATAAAATACTGAAATGTAATCATTTGTAAATATAATTAGACTGCAGGCGAGGGCTCTGTCCTTATAAAATAGGCCACTTTCTCGATAGGAACGTGATATTTGCGCATCCATTTGCCACCTCTGATCACTTGGACGAGTATCTCATCCTTCCACCAGCCGTTGGGCAAAAATATGTCTCTTTCTGTCTGTCCTTCTTCTATAACGGGCGCTACGATAATGTCGTTTCCGATGGAGAACTGGTCGTTGATAACGTAGGCGTCTCTGTCCTCAGGCTGTGTCCACCACATCGGCCTTATTATTGGTGAACCGTTTCTATGGAATTCTCGAAGACATGCCTTCATTACGGGAAGAATTAAATCTTCGCGGAGTTTCAACAGTTTTTTGGCCACTTTTATAATCTCGAGGTCGTTATCGGGTTCACCGAATTGTATGACCGGTAAAAAGGCGACCACTTGTAGCCAACGAATGTATAGCTCTTTGCTATAAGTGGTTTCATTGTTGGCGCGAATGCCTCCAACGGAACCGCTGTTCACCAGTGGGTAACCCATTAAACCCAATGAGAGAACTGTCGGTATAATGCCTTGCAATGTATTCCACGAAGAACTCCGCGGAAGTACTTTAACAAAACCTTTGAGTTGCTTCGAGTCAACAGAACTGGTTGTGCCGATCAAATCACTGGTATTAATGGCCACCCGTTTCAGTAGATTTAGATAGTTATCTGGATTTATAGTTTTGTCAACATTTATGTGTTGAGGCATTAGAGAGGACTGTCCGCCGACGAACAGAAAGCCGTCCACCGATAGTCCGGTCAGCAATTCGTCGACCAATCGATTCCGAAACCAGTCTCTGTTGTCGGCATTCGTTAAGTTTATTAAACCGCAAATGTATTCATATTTATTGCCACAACGGGTCAGAAGCGGGACATTGAGGCGACCGTCGCGTAAGAGTCGGTGATTGAGCCGAGCGTTGGATAAAGTGTTTGAATGCAAATCAATGTTTGGCGTAATTGTGAGCAAAATTTTAAACCCTTTGTTGTGAAGGATATTAATAAGAACCGAGGGGTTAGTGAAAGAGGTTTTGTTCATTTTGAAGTCGCCGATAATGTTCTCCCAGCGGGAGTCCAACAAAACCACTCCCGGCTCGAAACCATAGGACATGATTCGGTCCACATATGCCTGAAGTGATTGATGCGTGAAGTTTGACAACACGTTTGAATCGGTGGCCCAAATGAGACGCTCCAGGAAAACGTATTCATCGGTATCTGAGCTCTCGATTGACGTCAAATTGGTATCATTTCTGTCATCATATTTGGGCGAACTGTCGATCAAATGGTTTTGCAGGTCTGGAAGACTGGGCGCCGAACATATCGTGTACTCTAATTGAGCGTAAATATCGTTTTTGTTGAGCACATAATACGGCGATTGCTTTTTCGATATAAAGCATAGTTTGTTGGGATCTTCAGTGCTGTTCAAACTCACAAATAGCGGAACGTTTAGACCGACGCTTATAGTAATGCCTTTCGATGAGAACCAATGTCTGCCAATCAACGAACCGAATGGAGTGCTCTTCGTGTCTGTCAAGTGACTCGTCACGAATGGCGAGTCGGCGATCGACATGTCATTGAGCGGCCATTTCAGGCCATTCACGTCTCCCATACCATACCTATAGAGAAGTACAGTATATGTTAACAAAGTTTTAAAGTTTATAAAAAAGTTTCTCTTGGAATCGCGTACCAGAAAGAAGAGCTCAAATCAAAGCAGTCCTTAAGTATAGCATATTTTTCATAACTCTTCCACTTTATGTCATAACAAGTAATAGATTTGGGATAATGTTTGTACTGAAGAGTCAGATGTGCCCTATATTTCCAATCCAAACATATTCTGGTGTTTCTCTCAATTGATTTGCAATTAATGGGAGGAATGTCTTCGGGAATGTTAAGCCCGTACTCGATGTGCAACAGATCGCGACCCTCGCTGTCCAGTAGATCGAGTTGTCGTTGGGTTTTAATAAAGAAAATCCGGTCTCTGATTGCGATCACAATTTTGTTGCGGTTATAGAAATATCTTGTGCTCAATATAATGATCACAATTGCCATCAAAATGAGTGCCACAACTATTTTGAAGCGAAACTCCGGTGCCTTCCCTTTCATGAGCAGTGCGTGTATTCTTGCGGTCGAGCTCTGGATCTGTTGCTTACGAGACGAGCGTTTGTTTCGTTTGGGAATCGCTTTCCATGTGTTGGAGTCGTCGGACAATTGCAACACTTGAGTGCTCTTCAGGTTTGACTTGCGTTGCATTCGCGGCGAAGACGACTCGCGAGGCGTTTCCGATGGCGTGAAGTCATACGAAGAGATGGACGTCCGGGCGCTCGACCGGTACGACCCGTAAGTGTCGCCACCCGTACTGTTCGGCAGCGAAGACAACGAATGCAAGTCTTCGGCGCTTCCATTGGCTTTCGAGGACTCCATCGCTCGCTTCGAGTCGAAGGACAACTGATTCCAACCTCTCTTGGCTTCAGATTATCTCAATTCACATACCATTCAAACTCGTGATAAGTTGCGACACAAAAGCCATTCAATTGTTTCAAACATGTGTTTATTTACAAATCATAATAACGTAATGATTAGTGAGAGTCGACTGTATTGACTGTAGTGTAGAGTGTAGTGATGTGCGGAAGTGAGCACTCACTGCACACACAATGCATAGAGTTATGCAATGATTGCATCACAAGTTGTGATGATATTGTGAACTGATATGCATTTTGTAACTATTGAGACACAAACTGATCCCAAAGTGAACTCTTTTCTGTCCGTTTGATAAGCGCTTTACAAATGACTAAGGAGGGAAATATCTTTGGTGGAAATTGCCAACCCAATTGATAGTGGTATGTAAACGTGCAGAATTGTTACCAGATGTTTAATCCATGGTCAAAATCGGCGAATGGCCAGAGTCGTTAGAGTATGGGTCAATTTTCAAATCACGTCTATTGCTTATAGCATTACATTCATGTGATCAGCCATTCATTATGTGAATCACCTAATTTCAATGCTATAAGCAATAGACGTGTGATTTGAAAATTGACCCATACTCTAACGACTCTGGCCATTCGCCGATTTTGACCATGGATTAAACATCTGGTAACAATTCTGCACGTTTACATACCACTATCAATTGGGTTGGCAATTTCCACCAAAGATATTTCCCTCCTAAAACTGATGCACTGTTTAGTAAATGAATGTAAAAGTAGTGGTTAAATGCTAATGAGTTGGATTCACTATGGAATTAGGTTTATTGTAAGCTTAATAAACTTAGCTTATCTTTATTTGAAGCTCACATTCTTCTTTGGGCTCATTCCTAGTTTAGGGGACAGTAAAAAATATTGCCGCCGAGTGGATATTTGAATAGCCCTTGGCCAGTAGTCCCCAGATATGGTTACCAAAGTTTGCGGAAACAATTGATTTTCGAGATAATCGAGATCAAACTTGTGATTTTTCCATTGAAACCCATTATAACTAATAAATTTCGTTTTTTTCAATTGAAGAATTCATTTTAATAATTAAGAAATGATTTTAGTTTCTAATTTAAATCAGTTTCTTCGGAGTCTTCGATTTCCACTTCGATTTCCACTTCGATATCGTGATCCGATGTTTCCAAAGGTTCTTTGGGGTTGAGTGGGTTGTAGAGTTGACCAGCTAAAGAACTCTAAAGTTGGGTCCAATGTCATGGCTTTACATTTCTTCATAAACATATACTTTGCCAGATGTGATGGAAAAATTGATTTCTTGTAGATCCCTGAACGAAAACAAGATTTAGCGGTATGCTAACTACCCTCAATAGTGTTGATGTGCTCACCTGTCTCGGTGTCCTTAAAGTGTAGGGAATGATTTACTTTAAAATGAGTGTAGTCCTCTTTTGACAACATATTGTAGGAACAGATACTTTTACCATGGTCATTTATTAGTGATTAAAGTTTAGGTTATAGTGGGGGCCAGGCCGACAGGCTTGGCCCCAATGATTACGCTTGGTAATTTTACTTTAAATAGTTTATATTAGTTTATTACAATTAATACAATATAAAAATTGAACAACATAACGTTAGCCACAAGTTATAAATTAGAGTGGGTGTTTCATCAAATATAACATCGGTTTATATACCATACAATCATGTAATAGTTATTTATTATAAAGCAATATTTCCAAGAAATATTGCATTCCATTTACAATACATTTGCAATACAAATAATGATACAAAGTAAAAAGTAGAACATTAGTATTACTAATAAAATTGGAATAATTTATATAAAAATATTAATTAAATTCAAACGACATCCTACAATATCATAAGACTTCCAATAATCAGATATGATTGTTGTCTTTGGTTTAATCCATTTCTATAAATAGTATAAGTTAAGTTAAGTTAAGTTAGGTTAGGTTAGGTAGCGTTTTCAGCGTAAATTGTAACATAAAATATTTACCTTAATAATCGCAACCAGTGTTTCTAATGTTCTGTCGGGCACATCGATCATAAAAACCCGACCACATTCACGTTCAATGCCACCGAACACCCATCGTTTGCCAAACTTTGACTCATCAATTTCTATTGTTTTGTTCTCACCACCAATTGTCTCACTTTTGAGAATCATTGCGTCATAGATGACTTGTCTACAAAACAAAGCCCAATCCGTTGCTGTTAGTTTGGCTTCAATATTGACTTGTTTTTGGATGACAAACAATGGCACATTATCTGTCCAGAAATTAACAAATCCGATTATTTGCCACATTTCCAGATGTGATGTTTCGAAAAATGTGCCCGTCCTTAACGATACTCGGTGGTCACACATTTTGCTCTTTTGTTTGCGTTTTGGAACCATAGCAATACACTTCCAACGATACCCATCGATCCTATTATAACAAAAAAGTTAAAAGACATTTGCCATCAATTGATTCAATTATTCACGCGTTGCCCAAGGGCTATTCAAATATCCACTCGGCGGCCATATCTATTACTGTCCTCTAAAATAGGAAAACTCTAATCTTAGGATTGTATGGATGGGCGCTTTTGATCCTGGTGATTTTGGGTTTCAAAGCCGCGCATTCGGCCCCTCGGGCTTTTGTGCTGGTGTTGCGTCTCCGGTACCAAAATTTCAATCATTATTGTACACCAATGTTGATGTATACATATAACTGTATTTTTATATAACATAGGATTACTTTTTAAAATATTTAAAGTAATATTACTGTGACAACAAACTATTTGTAACATCAATGGTGTGAATTGGACAGTTATATTTTGTTTCATCAAAACGATGAGCACATCAATGAATACATTAAACAATACACGACATGGGTTATTTTCGAGTTTATATTCGTTTTTAGAGTTGAATTTTACATATTAAATTACTAACATCATGGGCGATTTTGCTTAATGGCTTAACGCTTAATATATTTTCCGGATGTACCGGGAGTCGCCTCTTGAACGGCGATAAAACATACCTCTTGTCGTTGACATACATCACAATCAGTGGTAATAGTAGTCTTTGAGGGCTTAGGGATAGACATTTCGGCGAAACCATAGAAACTTTGGGTCAGAATATGAGTTCAATAGAGGGATAGTTGGGAATTGAGGTGTTGTCTGATGAGAAGCGCCGAGAATTGAGTCAACTGATCCTTGTCTTAAGGAATAAATACACCCCCCGAAGTTAAACGTATCGTTGAGTAGTTCCCTGTACCGCGAAAAGACTTTACGCGACTACAATTATTAAGTTGAAGTTGAAGTCATGATAACTATTAGTGACTCTCAATAACCAAATTCTCACTTCAAACATGTATTTTGTAAAAATGTTTTCACTTTAAAAATATTATGGTGGTCAAAATAATTCCAACTGACACATTTTAAAATTTTTAGTGTACAGAGCAATCATCAATCTTTATGGAACTTGGTTTCTGGTGCCTAACAATGTTAACTTAAATAATGATACCATTTTAGTAGTTGAGCTGCACCACATGACACTTACTTGTTAGGCCACTTATTTTCCATTTGAACCAATATTCTAATATTCTTTCAATTCATTCACGTTTTATTGAATCATTTAATTATCAATATTTCCATTCAATTGTTTATCACATTTACAGACAGTAAATATTTTAAACAATATTCGTAACAATTCATCACTAAATGTATATAAAAATTGATTCAAATAATCAATCATTTGATATCATGTATGGAAATAAAGTGGAAGACAATTGTATATTTAAAATATATAGTTTTCTGCAGTAATATAACAAGTTTTAACAATCAATACATTAAAATTAATCCTTAATATCGTATTAACATTTAAAAGTATAAATAGATTTATTGATAATAATTAAGAAACAGATAATAAGTTTTACGAGAATATGAATAAATTTGCTTAAAATCATGTAAAATAAAATCTAATAAAGAATTGTTTAAAAATATTTTGAGGCTTTTTTGTTGTTTAGAAGAATAGATATTATTCTGACGATTACATCGATTACATGATTGTCCTCTCGTTTATATTTCCTATTCTTTATTATATAAATAATTTTGTGTAACAAATAGACTCTTCGCTGAAAATATTGTCTAAAGAATATATCTTTGCTTTTAGTATAGAATTTGATTTATAACTTGAATTTCACGGAATATTTTAAAGAATAAAAATAGTTTGGATTTTGCGATATTTGAACGAATTGTTTGGTCTCTACTCTTGTGTTTGCTGTGAAGAGCTCTCAAACAGTAATAACATTGGGATTAGAAGAGGAAAAGCTGTTCTGTTTCTCGATTCGCCAGTTCTTGAGTTTGGCTAAAACCGAATACCAGTCGTACTTCACTTCGAAGAGATCTACCAATTGTTGTTCGGTGTGAAGAGCGGCGCAAAACTGCTCGAATGTTATGAACCAATTGTCTTCCATTCCCTCCAATGTCTTCTTCTCATCAGACTTTGTGCTGTCATTGGAATCACATTCCGATGAATTGGCGGCTAATGTATCGCTCGACTCAATAGAGTTCGCTTGAGTGGACTCCGCCTGAGACGAGAGTTCGCCCAGTTTTAGGAGATAAGTGCCCACAGAAGCGATGCAGTGATATATCTGTTGCTCATTGTCTTCACCGGTGAAGATGTCGTACAATGTCTTCCATAACTGAATGAACTGTTGCTGATTCATAACCGGAAGGCTAGACCTGCGGTCACCAGAAGTGCTCGTCTCGTTTAAGGCACTGAAAGTGGATCCGAATATAGCGCCAGTCATTTGACTGCCAAACGAATGGCTATTCTTTTGATTATTATTTATGATATTAATCGACGACAAGAACTGAGTGAAAGTGAACGAGACATTGGGTTCTTCGGCTTTGGGTTCAGTTTCGGCTTCGGTTGAGGCAAAGAACTCTTCGGCCTCAGCGCCCAATTCAGTCTCCTGTGAGTCGCACTCGTACTCAGACACCGACGGAGAAGAGATCAGTTCCGGAATGTTTAGCAAATGAATGGAATAAATAAATCTCAGTTTGATTTCGGCGTCGGCTCTAAGTATGACAACCATTAACACCAAAAACTCGAGAAAATTAATGAAATTATCGGTGTTTTCATCTAAAAGCTTAAATATGCGAATGACCAGAGCATCCGTGTTCTCCGCCTGAGCCCACGGCCACGAGTGGTTGAAATACCACCGAAACTGATCCATATCTAACTTGAATATCTCGTAGAAAGGGTGCGACAAATCAAACTTCTCGTTGGCGGGCAATGTTTGGCCCCAATATTGTTGTCTCAACTGTTCCTCTTTAAAAATGACGTAAATATCTTTGATTTGATCAGAAGTTAAATACTTGGAAATGATTGGAAAGCTCTGAAGACTTCGGATCACATTTTTCATGGTATTGTCTTCAAGATTCTGGACAACATTTATTCTGTGCTTTACTCGAAGTTTTTCGATATAATTGGCGGAAATGAAGCCGTATTTAGAGTACGAATCGTAAATCAAATCATTAATTTCAGTACTCGTCTGACTCGCTCTCTTAGAAGCCGACCCGTAGGCCACCGAATGAACGATATGTGGGATCTTTGCGTCTCTATTGGAGATGTTCTCGAGATAACCACTCAATACAGTCATGGCTTCGCCGTCGTCTTTGGCGGCCATCAGTGCCTCACTATTTGAGGCCAGAATATTAAGCGCCACCGAAAAGACAACTTTCGCGCCGTCATAGAAGAAACAGTCGGCGATATGAATGGCCGACTCGAAAGGCATTACGCTTAGAAAGATGGTTAAAAACCACGAAAGAGATATCATCGACAATATGCCGAATGGAATCAATTTGTTGTAGAGTTCGGGCAAATGTTCTTTAACTAACTCTTCGAGCACTCCCTGGTCTACGAGAGCTCCGATCACTTTAGTGTTGTAATAGTCGGGAAGTAAGCGCTCGCAGAGGGCGACCAAAAGCCAAAACGCTTCCTCTTCTGAGGCGTACAATAAAAGAACTGATGCGACGATATTCATGGCCTGACAGTAACCGATGTTTGGGTTACGAAAGGCGTACGCATTGAGGACACGGCGGAGTGCGTTAATGCCGAGCGTCGACTGAAAGGCCGGGTGTTCTGGTAGTGAACGGTGCAAATCGCGCTCAATCTCATCGGTCGCTATACTATGTGTGCCGAGACTTTGTTGAACAATGAGCTCATAATATCCGCGATGAGTCGACAATTCATTTATAGCTCCGGAGTATAACATCCAAAGCTCGCCGCGAATATTGTCGGGAATGCCTTTCAGTATGAGTTCTCTGGCTTTGGCCGTTCGATAGCATGAAATACCTCTTCCGTATTCAATGAAATGCAATTCCCATAAATTCATTTTCACCGACTCTTTAGCCGTTGATTCCGGTGTTTCGGGAAATGGAAATTTTGTGCTCAGAGCGGGTTCTGGAAGCCATGACGTCTGGCTGTCAACTGTAGACAATTGTCGACTTAACGAATCAATACTGGATCTGATAATTAAAACATTTAAATATAACGAAAGTAGACAGTAATTGAGACAAACCTTCGGTCTTCAGTTAATCTCGAAAGTAATTCTGATATTTTAATGACCAGAAAGTCTCGGTCGTCGATATGAGAGAAAATGAAATTGGATTTCAAACAAGAGATCAGAATCGCGTTATTCCTGTCATATCCTGTGTTCGGATTGTTATCCAACTTTTCAGTCGATAGTATTTCTCTCAGAGGTATGATTAAAGAGACTAACGATTTAACCTATAGTTTAGAAATTAATGAAATAATTGTCTGTTCAAAGAATTGGCACCAAAAAAACATACTCTACTCTCAAAGCAGACATAATTGTTAGACAAATACATTTTGCCCCAAACGTGTTGCTTATTATATGGTGTCCATAGAGTGAGAGGTAGAGTGCCGTCCAGTTTCTCGTTGGAGGGGAGTCTGAATGTGATTCTATAGGACTCACTCATCGCTCTGGCGTCCAAATCTCGTTTCAAGAATGAGACCTTTTTCGGGACATTCTTTGATTTCTTTGCCGCTAAGTTGTGGTCAACTTTAAACGGAAGTTGTCTTTCATCGGAGATAATTTGTCTCATCGTTAGGTTCGCCAACTGTTCCATCAAATTATACGTTTCGGATGTCTTTAAAAACAGGGAAAATATGTAACTCTTATCGCGAGTCACTATTTTGATGCTATCCGGGAATAGGACAGTACTGTCGCGCTCCAGATTCTGCTCATACACTCATATCTATTAATATTTGCGTTAAATGTTTTAGTGTTTGCAAACCTTTATGTCAACCCATTTGATGATTAATTTCAATTCTTTGCCAAAAAGGTATGAATAAAAACACAAGTGATTTACACTAAGATAGAGCCATCCCTGTCGGGGCAGTCGGCCGTTCCAATAGCTGCACGAATAATCTGCATATCAATTATGTATTAGAAATACAGTGTAATAAAGGATGAAAACAAGCAATAAATACAGTTAACGAGCTTTTCCTCCTCAGGCATAGAGAATAGTTTCGCAAACTTATGAGAAGCGGCCCTAAAGTTGCGGCTATCGGTCGATTCAATGGGTTGGGCGGCTGTTATATCACTGACTGCCTGTGCGATCAGACTCTCCACTTTGCATCGGACAAAGTCTGTCACGTCATCCTCGCTCTCAAACGATATCAATGTCGGCATTAAATTGGTTTCAATCCAATCCCAGTCTTTGTATATCTCATCCTTCTTTATAGCACACGACACCGCTTTAGACATACAAATAGACAGCCATTAAGGGGTCATTCAAATCAATGCCAAACATTACTTACAATAACTGACTTCAGAATTGGTTGTCTGATGAAGAATACGATACGGCGGCGGCTGTCGGGCAAACATCAGGTCATTAAATGACATTCAATTCAATTCATTGTATGGCAAAAGGGATTCAATTGAGACAAACCTTAGTGTCGAAGACTGAGTCAATAGTTCCGACCAAAATGGATGAGAAACCTCTGGTTCCGTGTCCTTTACGGCGCTGTAACACGAAGTATGGATTCGCTCTTTCGGTCACCCTTTAGGAGACAATCAAATCAATCAATCCATTCATTGTATACTTAATACAAACCAAAAGGCGTTTGCGATCAACACTTCTTCAAATTTAATCCACATTTTGTGCACACATTTCACCACAAAATGTTTGCAATCAATCAATTAATTACAATCAGTCTTCAGGTGTGTATGTCTTGAGCTAATATCACAACAACGGTTCCAGTGATATAACTAGTGATTTAGGGATCAATTGATGACTCATTTGATATACGATAAGAGGAATGAATCGATTGGTTAATTGGGATTCACTGTCATTGCAATGAAATCATGTCTTAATCGGTAATAAGTTTTGTGTAAAACAATAATAACTCAAATTGAAAACAACCAAAACTAGTGAACCAATGGTTGAGTGCTTTCAATACACCATTCAGTGAAATGTATAGTGAATTGTGAATCAAATATATAAATCAATTAATCATTCATTGAATATGTGTTTCGCTTAACACTCATAACAAACCATCGATTGATTACACGATTGTTAACCAAATAGTAATACATAACAGCTGTTTGTCTGTCATTAAAGGGACTGTCAATCACTGTATTTACAAATACAACACTAGTTTGTAATGTCATTGCAATTCACAAACTCATTGTTTTCTCGATTACTATCTCATTGTTTATACAATTTATCGCTTTTTAATCAAAATTAAAAGTGAATTTTGTATGAATTGATTGAGTAATGAATTGATAACCGATTGTCTGTTTAATTATTGATAAGTTTCTAAATAGTTGTAATGAAAGACACTATGAATACAACCCCTCGTTATAAACGTATAAACAAAACAAAATTGATCTCAAATTGAAGTTTGAATTGAATTGAAATGACTCTATAGTGAAGACAATTGAAGACATTTAGTCCATAGCTATAGTGACCGTTGCGGTGATAATGCTGTCCAAAGCTATACTCTTGTGATTAACCGGTGATAGAAGTGCTATAATATCTGAATGAATAGCATTTGGTTTGCATGTAATGGCAGTAAAGAGTTGATTGAATTGCGGTTCTTGTGTCCATCGGATGTCCCGAAAGTGAAACAATTATGTAGTGATTGGTTCCCAATCGAGTCAGTTATCACTTCCACACTTACCATTCAATCCAATGTATAATTGTTTGCATTCATTGCGTCCGCAGATATCCTGACAGTTGGTACGAAGACATCACATCCAACCCCAAGTTCTTCGCATTGGCCGCTGTTTTTCGCTTTGAAATCATTGGCCTAATTGTGGCCGAAATCAAGTGTCAGACCAAATGTAATCGCGAAGACCAGGGATTGTTGGCCACGAGTTTGGCCAACAATTCGCGTGTTGTGTATATATTGACGTTAGGAGTGGTGAAGGAGTTCCGGCGCAATGGCATCGCAACCCTATTGTTAGACAATCTGATCCATCACTTGACGCGCAACGAGTCGACCACTGACTGCAAGGCTCTCTATTTACATGTGTTGACCACAAACTTAGTGGCCATACGTTTCTACGAGAAACGACAGTTTAAACGACACCTTTTTTTACCTCTTTATTACTCAATCAATAGCACAGCGAGAGATGGCTTCTCATACGTGCTGTACATTAACGGCGGTCGACCCCAACCAACCCTATTATATCCTTTTCATTATTATAACTGCACTATAATATCGATAATGTTATGCAATGAATGTTTGTTTTCCTTAACCGATAAGTTTACAGATTATATATCCATCGTTTTGGAGGCATTGAGTCGAATAAGTGCTAACCCATGCAAATGGACTAAACGTGTACTTCAAGTGATGGCATCCAAGATGTGCCGATTTATACCAATGAGCGCAACCAATAGAAACTCTTCGCCGCATTTGGCCAGTCTGTGAGAGAACGGGCGCCTCTTCTCAACACATCTATTCATTCGCCGCTATTTTGTTCAACAGTTTGATTGCTTTCCACAATAACTGGAGTCCTATTTCTATTTCCTTTGATACCTGAAAAAGCTTTGACTTGAGCTCACAATTTGGGTAAATGTCTCAACAATCACTTTAACAAACACACTATAACTCTATCTTACAGTAGAATTAATCGCTCATTATTTCTGATATATTTTTACTTATCGTTCATTTCAATTATCTTAATATTTATGAAATTTATTTATTTTAAATATAAGTTATAATTATTTTAAAAGTATTTTTAATATAAATAGAAATTTATAGTCGTTTAGCGATATGAGAATTATACACTACATTAATATACAAATCACATAAATTACCTTAAAATGCACTTCACTTTTAGTTGTGACATAAACTAACAATACTTACCAAACCGTATGAAAGGGAATAGTTGTTAGGATTCAATTGATTTTGTAATTTAATTCACATATTCATTCATATTGGCTAAAGAATTGGTAAAACTGTAATCATTTGCACTCAAATATGGTCTCGATTTATAAGCAAATAAGTCGTTTACAATCATTTATTTTGAATTGATTTAATACACCAAATATGACACAAAAATAGGTTCATTTATTAAATTTTTTGTTCACATTTTCATTCATCTCTGGGTTTCGACAATTGAGTTGTCGTTGTTTTTTATAATAATTATGTTATTATTATATTTAATATAAATTATAATATATATACCGTTAGAATATTTGTTATTTAAAATAAAATTAGCGTTAAATTACGGATCATTTCCATAATTATTACGTCAAAACTTTTTTATGATTATTTGGCGACTCTTCGCTATCTTTGGGTCGACTTCTCTTCCCTTGATTTGACTCCCGTTTATTCACTAGTTTTGAGGGCAGACTCCGCGGCCCCCAATTGGGTTCGGGGTTCACCTGATATCGCAATAATTGCATCTCTTTAGACATGGGTTCGGCGTTTTCGTGCTCTTCCAGTGACACACTATTTGTCGTCTCTTTGTTTATGATATGAAATCCGGGACTACTTTCCGGTAAACTATGTTTTGTTTTGAGTTTTTCTATTTCTCTAATAATGTCCCAAATGTAAGCGTTGGGTGCGTTTGTTTTGACCGATGTTTTGCTGGCGTGAGAGTACGACACCTGAAAACCGCCGTTTAATAGCGCCGAACGAAACGTCTTCATCGACGGCATTGAACACTGGACTACACGACACAATCGGTCCAAACTGTAGTAAAGCGGACAATCGATCAGCTCTTCGCTCAACACCTGAAGCATTCCATGCATTCGTTTGTGTGTCACAAATGATTGTTCATTAAAATCGGATAATTGTTTCTGCAATTGACTAATGAATTGTGAGGAATGTATGGGTGCCGACCAAATCGGACCTCCCATTTGATACGTGTGTCCGCAATGCTCGCAATTTCGGCCAACTTTGGGTGCCGTTGGGCTAAAGTTATAGGCATTATCTTCCGTATGCCTACAAATGGACCAATGAAAAGAGACTTCAGTAAAACATTTGGCATATAATCCCTTTTGATTACCTTTTGTTTTGAATAAGTGGTTGTAATTCAATGGATTCACATCCTGTGCACTGATAGACATACGATAGTTTACTATTGGGTATAAAGTTATCATTAGATTGAGAGCAATGAGAACAACCAAATGATGGCAAAACCTGGCGCTTCTCTTCACTTCGTGAGGAGAGGTATAGATTTGTAAGAATATTCTGACGTAGAAATCGACGCTCAATGAAACTAATGGCACAATATATCTGCCATATCTATTGGCGTGGGATTCAACGCTTCGGATAATTATACGCAAAGCCTATCAATTAATTTGATACAAAAAATTCACACTAAAAAACATTTAAAAATAATAATTTGAATTATGTTTACAAACCATTTCGTGACACGATTTAGATCGGAGTGGAATTGAGCCATATTTTGCGTGACAGACCTCACTGTGATTACCGCAGAGGACAGCCATATCAGTGCACGTAATCATAAGCATTCCTCCCTCTGCCAGCGACTGTACCGCCGAATCCAAGAAAGGAGAAGGGCTTCCATATGGGTCGAGATCGATGATCGAAAACCTATCCTTCATATTGCGATTCTTCACCATAAATAGTCTATTCATTGCAAACACTTTCTGTTAATAATAGGTTTAGATTTACAAATCAATAAAATGTCTTCACATACGCGGCGTCCGATTGATTGGACACAACTCTATCGGTGACGCCATTCCTCACAATATTCTTGTCAATGGTTTCGATGGCTTTCTTCGAGACGTCGTTCGCGAAGATCTGAATCGGAAGAACCGATTCATTGCATTCCAATGCATACCGAATGGATCGCAAACCAGTGGCCGAAAGCGCGTCCAATATTGTGATCTTCAGTAAACAAAACATATATTGAACTGACGTTTGTATTAAAGTTAGTCTTCAGCCGACAATTACCTTATCTTTAATCCATTTGTTTGGCCTCAAGTTATTCTTCCACAACTCGTTCTTCAGGTAAGTGTTGATCGCAAGAACACTACAATTCAAACAATCAGTTATTATTCAAATGGATTTAAATTTACGCTTATATTCATTGATAATCAATTCAATTGTCACCTGAAGTCACGATTGAATTCCTGGACATTGTTGTAGAAGACAAATGGGAGCCGAAGAATATCTGCCTTTCCTTCCTTCACAACACATTCTTCTGGAGTTTCCGTGTCTTTGGATTCACTCTCCGTGTCATTCATTTTGAACACAATTTTTGGTCAAAAGTTAAGACAATTGTTGACAAAGTTTTGCAAATATTTAATTGCGAAATAAAAGTGTTGAATAATTGACCACTTATTCAGTCATTTAATTAAAAGTATCGCTAAATATAACAATAGATTTAATAACAAAATTAAAAATATGTTAAATGATTAAAAACTTGATAAAAATATTTCAAACACAACACGTGTGACAGCACTAGGGATCAGATCTTAATTACTCATTGAATGGCAAAACATGTCATTTATTAATTAAATCAGTATTTAATTAAATTCATGGTAATATTCTTGCGATAAATGTTATAAATTGATGCAAAATAAATGGCAAACAATTAAATGAATAGAAATAATGGTTTAATTAAAGTATAAAACAATGAATAAATAGTTGCGAAAAATAGTGATTCAAAATCAGCGCTCATTTGGTGTAAGCGTTGAAATGAGTGCACGTTTTGCACAATAATTGTTGTCATTATTGGATCATTGATTGCGTGATTCAAACCCATTGTTCACCACAATTAGATCCCCAGCGGAACCGATGAGTGATCCGTCGCCCACAGACTCCGGTCTCGGTATTAACGATCCAATGATTGAACACCAATTGTCTCCATTGTCTCCCTCGTCGTCCACCGGCGGTCACGCCATCGCTCACCACAACGACCACACGGACCACAACGAAGACGATGAGGTATTCCTCCGCATTCTTCTTGTCTTATATTGATCTCTATTATCGGCGAATGGTTTAGGAGTTTATGGACGAGACGTTGGGCGAGAGGATCGTGGGTTTGACCGAAATGTTTCCGCAACCCGTCAGGAGTTGTGCTGTTTATGTGACCAAAGGGTCGGTGAATGGCGTGAAACAGTTGTATGGATTCAGTCGATCGGCTCTTTGGGTTCTCTTCACGTCAGGTGTGGTTCTGTTGGCGCCGTTGGCTCTCGAGATGGAAAGATCACAATTGGATGAGTTGTCGAAACAACAACAGAGACAGGTATTCATTACTATGATATGCAATGTCTGCACAACAACTCTAACCATCATTCATATCACTTCAGATCTTATTGGGTCCGTCGGCGGCCATCTCTGGCGGCGGTCACGGCTTACCAATGCCTCCCATATCTCCGGCGCCGCGATAAGCCATTTATTAGTTTACAATTCAATTACCGATTTCTAGTTCTACTGATTTATTAGTCTTTTTTCATTTAATATATTGATTATAATTATAATTGTTTTTTCAACAAATATCACATAAAATGAGCAAAATTTTAATAAAAAAGTGTCATTAGTTTTTAATTAAACTCTAACTCTGTCTCTGAATTAACCGCAAATACTTTGGTCTTGTATTCAATATTGAGTCCAGTGTTGGCCCAAAAGACGACAAGTTTTCGGTCACATTCTTCGGAACGAATCAATTTAAACATAGCGTTCATTTGGGACGGACTTCGGGGCGGATTCACGCCTTTGGTGTACGAGTAGAAAGTGAGCGCTTTGTTCAGCCATTCGTTCTTCGATGTAATCAAATAGGAATTGAATGTGGAGTCAGAGTAAGTCATATCAATCAATATGTTCTCCAAATTTGTCAAATAGTTTGGCAATCGTTCGGGAAGTTTACTCTTCGAGTGAATTGTGAGTTGCATTTCATCCGTGAATATAGTTTTGCTGTTGTTTTTACAGTCATTTGTTTTATCTTTGATTGTAATGAAAGCGTAAAATTCGGAATCCATTACATTATTGGGCAATAAATCTAAGCTCGAAATCCCAATGAAATTATGTTTCGACGATTCGTTGAACTCATGGAAATCAGTGGAGATATTAATGCATTCGTCGGGCAATAGTTGCGACAAACACTGCATTAAACACTTAAGGCGTGAAGTGTTTGTATCGATTACTATAATCTTATTCCCGATCACTATATTATAGCCAATCGTCTGAAACCTCTCTTTGCCGACAAATCGATACAAATTACGTAAAGTCAGGTTCTGATCACTCGGTGCGAGTGGTCGGGTGTGCACTGACTTCACCGAATCGATATTCACGCCTTTGGTGTACGAGTAGAAAGTGAGCGCTTTGTTCAGCCATTCGTTCTTCGATGTAATCAAATAGGAATTGAATGTGGAGTCAGAGTAAGTCATATCAATCAATATGTTCTCCAAATTTATCAAATAGTTTGGCAATCGTTCGGGAAGTTTACTCTTCGAGTGAATTGTTAGTTGCATTTCATCCGTGAATATAGTTTTGCTGTTGTTTTTACAGTCATTTGTTTTATCTTTGATTGTAATGAAAGCGTAAAATTCGGAATCCATTACATTATTGGGCAATAAATCTAAACTCGAAATACCAATGAAATTATGTTTCGACGATTCGTTGAACTCATGGAAATCAGTGGAGATATTAATGCATTCGTTGGGCAATAGTTGTGACAAACACTGCATTAAACACTTAAGGCGTGAAGTGTTTGTATCGATTACTATAATCTTATTTCCGATCACTATATTATAGCCAATCGTCTGAAACCTCTCTTTGCCGACAAATCGATACAAATTACGTAAAGTCAGGTTCTGATCACTCGGTGCGAGTGGTCGGGTGTGCACTGACTTCACCGAATCGATCACTGGTTTCGTTGGATTCAAAGAGTTCACTGCAAACAGAATCCAAGAGAATTGGATGTGAAGGTAAGCGAAGGACGTGTTATCACCGGTCAGTTCCAGAAGAGATCGCGCCTTACTATTCGTTCGGTGAGTATTCAATGGATTCCTGTCGAGGAGGAAGTCGTCAAATGAGTTGATATTAGAGTGAAAGTTGGATACGTTGTCGAGGATTAGGGATCTTCTCTGTTGACAAGTGGTTTGCGTTAATTCACTCTCGTATATGATTTTCGCCCTATTCTTCAGTTTAGACACAATCTGTTGGATGTGTTTGACATAAAAGTCCCAATCGTTGAGTAACTCGTGTTTGTCGTCACTCATCACAAGTATACTATACGTGCGCTGAAAGCCGCGGGCCTTCGAGTCCTTCAACACAAACAGATAGCTCAAGACGTGTGCCCTCTGGTCGTCGCCGAAGTATATCAGACCTTCGCCTTCACTCGAGTCATACACTTCGCAACTCAGACTCCGAATACAGGCGTCTCTTATCATGCTATCACTCATGCCATCGGATCCGTTGCCGCCGTTACCATCGATGGGATAACTGTTTGTAATGAAACCCAAATCGTTGGTCTCGTTGAACGACAAGAAGCCGTTGAATCCGTCCATTGATTTGCATTTGAGTGAACAGCCGTCGCAGTCGTGCGACCGACTCCTCAAGTGGTCGCTAATCAACTGAATCTCATTACTAAATAAGTTTATATTATCGCCAATCAGTGAAGCGGTCGGCAGTGAAGACATGGATGACGTCAACGAAGAGCCCGCGCGGCTGTTGTCCGCGTGTTTGGTCTCCGTATAAGACATTAGATCCGATTGTGAGACACAATGTGTGGTGAGTATGACATTTGGTCCGTGAAGTTCGCAGAAGTGACAGAAACACAACAATTTGGCCACTTTTCCGCTCATGACTGCCGTCCGGGCCGTCAGTTCCGGCCGACGGCTCACCGATCGAGTGGTCAATACAAATGTCCGCAAAAACTAACTTTCAATTCAATGCAAAAATCATTAAATGTTTTGAAAGTTTGAGTCAATAATAAGTCTTATGATAAGCGATACGAAGTCATGACATCATAACACATACGGTATGCGCAAAGGGGTCGACAAGGGGTGCACTGAGTGTTGGGGGACAACAACCCCCACAACCCCGCACTCAACCCCCGCCCACTGCCCGACCCTCCCATCCATGTTATATGTGTGGCAATTGTGGTCAACATATGTTGGGATCAGTTGTGCGTTCATTTCATAGCTATTAAAGCCGATTGTTTAGTGAAATGCGTGAAGAGTGTGAAGAGTTGGTGATTGCGAGCCATGAATAGGGAGTGAGTGTCGAGTACTGCCCTCTTGTGGCCATAAATGTCGTGAAAATAGTGTTTAATTTCATTGCGATTTTGAGACCAAATATTTATTTTGCGGATCAAGTGATGGCTGAGGCGGCCGTCGATATGTCGGCCAATATATCTTCGTTGCGATACTTCTGCCACCAATGCTCTCAAGAATCGGATTCTGTTCTCTCGGTTCGTATGGTTTTGGTGTCATTTGATCCCAAAAGACACGTATTTTTGTCTATTAATGGCAATTAATGTCTATTTGTTTTGGTTTTGTTGACACATTCACAGGACTTCACGTGTCCTCTCTGTCGGTCCGGTTTTGTCGAAGAAGTCACTCACGAGGACACGGCTGAGACCAATCCGTGCGCACAACTCAGCCATCATTTCAATGCATTTAATTGACATTTTGTTTTATATTTACAAAAGCGATGACAACAATGAATCCGATACACAAATGGCAGACATTTTGGATGACCTGTACGGCCAGTATAGCGGATCCCGACGGCGCGGCTCCACTAATGGCGCCAACAGTACGTCCGGCGGTCCGCAGTCGGACTCCGCCGGAAGACATCATCTGAGAAGTCATAGGTATTCGCCAAACGACGGCAACGCCAGACGTCCGACAACCAGTTATTTTCAACTAAATTTGCCCCGAAATGCAGAGTCAGGGGCTCTGGACAGCAGTCAATCATTGGAGGGGTGCGTCCGCTCCGCTCCCAATCATATTCTCGCTTATCATTGATTTAATTGTTTTGATTTGACTCACAGTTTATTTCAACACATCTTAACGAACGTGGCTTCGGGTCAGTTGGCGTCGGGACGCGAAGGGGCGGTCAATATGGGCGCCCGCGGACTCATTAACATAGACTTTCCATTACCTCTGTTCCAAGTACTGCACGGGAATCCGGGGGACTATGCATGGGGTGAGGGAGGGCTCAACGAAATCATCAGTCAAGTGAGTACTGCCACTCCATTTGGCTCATGTTGTCGTCTAATGCGTGAGTTGTTCTATACGGACAGCTGTTAAACCAATTGGACGGTTCTGGTCCGCCACCGATGGCTAAGGAAGACATAGAAAAGGTTCCGTTTGTGTCCATCAGCGAAGAACAGGTTCAGAAGAATCTTCAGTGCACTGTATGTATGGAAGATTTCAAAGTAACAGAAAAAGTGAGACTTTTAGAGTGCAGTCATTGTTATCACAACGACTGTATCGTTCCGTGGCTTCAAATGGTATGATATTTGAGACCATTATTTGAAATGAATAATGAAAGCATTGTTTTTGTGTTGATTCACTCAAAGCACGCCACGTGTCCGGTCTGTCGAAAGGAACTGACGACCAGCCGTACGGCCAACAGAGACCCCAATCTGTCGACCAATACTACTAACGACCCCCGAGTCGGCGGCAACTCATCGACCAGAGAGACCAGTGGTAGCAGTAATACTAACACTCAGTCGTCAAACGGTACCTACGAATCAACCGATGATTACGATTAAGTCGATTCTGTGTCATATATATATACATATATATATAAATCTAAACAATTTGTAAACAATTTATAATTAGAAGTTATTATATTTAACGAATTAATATTAGAATTGATTTTTTCAAAAACAATTTCATTTCTCTTTTCACACTTATTTGCGATTTTTAATTTCTGTATAATTATTTCACTTTTATTTAAATCCAATCTTTCAATTAAATCAAATAAATATAGATTAAAGTGTCGATTAAATTATTTAATCTATTCTAATTAGGATAAATTACCGGCAATTTCACCATAACGTTGTAAATATTAGTCTATTTGAGGTGAACTATAAGTATTTAATACATTCGTATGAATGATAGTGTTTAAAGAACTGCAAAATAGTTTACGTCAAATATAATTCCGACCATTTATTAATGAATACAATTTTCAAAATCAATACAATTGGTTGGGAATGCAGTGTTAAAAAAAATCATTTAATAATAATAATGCTTTGATTGGAGATTAAAATTCAATAATAAGAGTAATTATAATGTAATGAAACACTCAAGTGGTCTACTTTTTATCGGAACCCCATTGCTTTTTAAAGCCGCTATACATATATATATAAATCTAAACAATTTGTAAACAATTTATAATTAGAAGTTATTATATTTAACGAATTAATATTAGAATTGATTTTTTCAAAAACAATTTCATTTCTCTTTTCACACTTATTTGCTATTTTTAATTTCTGTATAATTATTTCACTATTATTTAAATCCAATCTTTCAATTAAATCAAATAAATATAGATTAAAGTGTCGATTAAATTATTTAATCTATTCTAATTAGGATCAATTACCGGTAATTTCACCATAACGTTATAAATATTAGTCAATTTGAGGTGAACTAAGTATTTAATACATTATTATTCGTATGAATGATAGTCGAGTTTAAGTCAAATATAATTCCGACCATTTATTAATGAATACAATTTTCAAAATCAATACAATTGGTTGGGAATGCAGTGTTAAAAAATCATTTAATAATAATAATGCTTTGATTGGAGATTAAAATTCAATAATAAGAGTAATTATAATGTAATGAAACACTCAAGTGGTCTACTTTTTATCGGAACCCCATTGCTTTTTAAAGCCGCTAAAAAATCATTTAATAATAATAATGCTTTGATTGGAGATTAAAATTCAATAATAAGAGTAATTATAATGTAATGAAACACTCAAGTGGTCTACTTTTTATCGGAACCCCATTGCTTTTTAAAGCCGCCGGCCTTTTGTCCGCCCGATCGGGGCGTTTGGTTAAAGTTGCCCTTTTGTCCGCCTTTATTAAAGTTAGGCGTTTGTGGTTTGCCTTTAAAGTTGTTCTGTTGACCGCCTTTAAAACCGGGACTCTTGTTATTCTGCTGACCGCCGAAGTTGTTGGGACTCTTCTGTTGCTGTCCACCAAAGTTGGGGCTCTTATTATTCTGTTGTCCGCCTCGAAAATTGTTGGGACTGTTGTTCTGCTGTCCGCCGAACTTCTTGTTCTGCCATTGATTGCCCCCTTGATTACCGCCCTTTTGGTTGTTCTTCTGTCCGGATTGGTTCCACTGTCCCTTCTGTTGTTGACCGCCTTTCTGTTGGTTGCCCTGAAAGCCGCCCTTTTGGGCGCTTCCGAACTGTTTCTGTTGATTGTTTGGCTGTTTCTGCGGAGAATTCGTTTGATTCTGTTGTTTCGACTGATTTTGTTGCTGTTTTGGCTTCTCTTTGCCCTCCGCTTCCGCCGAGTCGTCTGTCATTCAAATAATCAATTTTAATAATAATTCCTAAAAATATACATTAATTAACACAAACCCGACTCATCATCGCTTTCCTCCTCGTCTTCATCGTCGTCGTCATCACTGGCGCCGCTCTCGACGGCCTCCTTATCCAAGAATCCAATCGACTCATCCATATTGTCATCTGACTCTTCGTCGTCTTCACTGTCATCTTCATCCGACTCTTCCTTCTTATTGTTTATTGAATTCAATTTATTTAACTTATTCTTCGAGTTCTTGTCGACGACTACTTCCGCCTTCTTTTTATTTGAGTTCTTGTTCTCTTCCTTTTTGGGCAAATCTTTGGCCACTTTTGTGTCCACTTTTGCTTTCTTTCCGGCGCTTTCGGGAGAGCTGTCGAGCAATTCATTCTTACGCTTCCCATTCTTCGCCTGAGGAGTGGACACCTCTTCGTCACTGCTTTCTTCGTCCTCTTCATCCCCCTCTTCGTCAAAGTCGTCGTAGGGATCGCCGACCAGATATCCGGTCAAATGAACGGTTCCGTCGCCCACCAGATAATAAGTCACTTCCTCTCCCTCGACAAACATGTGGTCCAAATGGCACTGAAGATTGCGGTTCGGCTCTAATGTGCAGATCATGTAATCGGACTTCTGGTGCTCAACCATTATAGACACGTGTTTGGAGACAGTCTTGTCAGCGGATGGCGGTTCCAACGCAGCCATTGTCAGGTGATATGACTCCTCCACTGATTGTGAATACCGTTTACCGGTCTCTAGAGTTACGCCTAAAACACATGCAAACCATCAGTAAATTACAAGACATTCAAAATGTGTGCCGTATTTCAGACAATCAATACTAACCCCAAAACATTTTGTCAACAATTTATACAACGATTAAAACAATTAAGAGATAATTGAATGGATTTATAGTGAAATGAAATCGCAATCAAATGCAATGCTTTCGTCCAAAAAGAGCACTAATAATGAAATGAATGGCAAATGATTTAAAACATGGAAAACATGTGCGCTTTGAATGCAATGCCTGTCCTCTCAATGCAAACACGTTTCACACAATCAGAGAGAGTGAGAGTGAATGCAGTGAACGATAGGTAGAGTACGATAGAGACCACCACTGCTGCCATCCATTCACTTCAGCACATCTTTCCAAACTACTACTGTCCAAGTTGTAACCCAGGTTATTAGAGTGCAAGTGTTAGGGTGGCATTACAAACAATGTATGAGACATTAAAACTAAAAATCTCATTTCTAATTGAAAGACAAACACGTTTTCTCTTAAAATTGATTTAATTGTTATATAAATTGTTTGTTTCAATCTTTTTGTGTGGAAAATGTCTTAAATTTATAGTAAAGACTCTTTGGATAAATTTAGTGACGATTTGTGCGAAATATTATTATCTTATAGTTATTCATATAAATTGATATCTAATCAGTGACTAATTGTGCTGTACAGAGCCGTTAGTCTATTTATCCAATTTTTGTTATATTTTGATTTATTTGATTTAAAATCAAAACGAATAATTTTTTAAATCTATATAGTATATGTTTTTATGTACTTATATCTATTGTATCTAATCCTATTGTTGTTAGTCTATTTATCCAATTTTTGTTATATTTTGATTTATTTGATTTAAAATCAAAACGAATAATTTTTTAAATCTATAAAGTATATGTTTTTATGTACTTATATCTATTGTATCTAATCCTAATGTGATTGGTCTCCTAACTACCCGTCGGAAAGCTTTGGCCAAACATATTTAAAATATGAAAAGGATAAAGTTACCATTTTCAAACTTTAATTGATCAGGCCCTTTAATTAGGAATTGATTGAATTTCATTTGCATTTGTTTAGCGTGTGTTATAGATTAAGATCATACACTAATCTTATTTAAATCCTGATAAGTTTAAACTTCAATATAATTCTGTTAAAAATTAGCCATTTTGCAAAATCCAGAATTTTAAATTTTTAATGGTGAAATTTTTAAAATAAAAATTGCATGAATATTAAAACCAATTATAGTAGCAATACATTGTTAAATAAACTACACTTGACCGTGTTGCTTTTCTTCTCGGTGTACAACATCACTCCATTCTAATTAAATTTGTTACCCAGCCATATATTAGAAAAATGCTTTACTTTAAANTGTACAACATCACTCCATTCTAATTAAATTTGTTACCCAGCCACATATTAGAAAAATGCTTTACTTTAAATTAAAATGTTATATAATTGAAATCAATCTTTATTAAAATTAACATATAAGTAATGACTATTAGCTATAAAATTTTTATTAAAATTGTCCTGGTATTTTTGGAATAAACAGTGGTCATTCTTTAAAAGTATAAATTCCATTGGATATATAGCCTGAAGGCTCTGTATATGAGAGAAGTGGTGGTAAATATTGGCAACAATATAATTAATCTTTGATTTTTGATTAAATTATTAATTTAATGCATATCTGTGTTGAAGCATTTTTGTATTGTATCGTTACCAGCCTTAAATTTGCTTTCCCCCCACTTGTTTCCCCCTTTTTGGACAGCAGTAATATACACCGCTATCCATTTATTATCAATAGATATCAGACGTATTCTTATTGAATTTTTTAGTCAAATAAGTAGCGTTTATTGTTTTAATTAAAAGAAATATTAAAGTTGTGTTTAATAAAGCATTGAATTATGCAATGAATTAAATATTAATCGTATAGTTTTTACTTTTTTCATGTGAACAAAGCATCCAAGTACTGTTTATAATAACCACTATTACACAGTTTATACGTAATGTTAAACATGGTAGGATTTGCTGATTCATATGGTTTAATATTATGAGCGATAAAATTGACAAGGGTATTTTACATTGATCATGGCTAGAGAAATGAAAAAATTGATTTAATATTTATATCCAGTAGAGCGCCTGTTCCCATTGTGGTCATAAAGTAACATTACAGTAATTAAATAGACAATTTAAAAATTATATTACAGTTTGTTAAACATTTCAATGTACAATGTTTAGTATTTAGTAAATAGTTTATTTAAATAAAAATAATTTACTAATTAAAACATTTATAATAATTAATATTTAAGGTTATTTTTGATAATTTATTTATTTTTATTATTGTAATTATTAATATTTATTAATAATGATACATAATAAATAACAAATATAAAATGTTGCCATAAATATATTTGTTTGAAAGCATATAATTTAAATGTTCAAAAACCTGGTTTACTAATTTCTAAATACAGTTATTTAAATTACAAAACCACCCTGTTGATCTATATCCAAAACAAAATATTATTTAATTAATTTTGTCAAATATATCATCAATTAATATAACACCTGATCGATTAGCGCAACATCATAATCCTTATTTTTATGACAAACCACTCGTATATATACGCAACAAACGAGAAACAATATCAATAAACAAACAGGGTAAAACCAGTAGATATGACTATCAATGATAGCATCATAACCAGGTAATAGTTTATAAAGTGAGACAAATGCGCAAAATGCTATTAATAGACGATACTCTTTTATAGCGCTGTACAGTCCAATGGAGTAAATAATTACATCCAGGGCAAAAAATATTGTATAATTTTCATGCTGATATGTTGACAGATCAGGTAGGTGATAATTAATCATAATAATTAGTAATGTCAGATGTATGACAATGGCCAAAGTAAATAGTATTATGCTAAATTGTTTGAAACATGTCTTGTTGAACAGAAATAAAAAACTAAATAGCTTTTTCACATAATACATATTTGTGATTATACGTTTTATAATTAATTAATTAATTTATAATTTAATTAATTATAATTGTAAAATTGCACTGTTATTACCAAAACAGTTATAAGTTTAATAACTTATTTTATGTTGATTTTAATATAATTATAGTCTGCTATATCACCCATTATAATTATTCTTATTTTTACTACCATATTGTTTTTATACATGTACTTTTAATATACAGTTGGTGATAATATCTTTGGTAACAGACTCAACACGTTTAAAATTTGAGAATGACTAATCTGTTCGAGGCACAGTGCCTCGCTAGAAAGTGCCTCGCTAGGCATTTTCCACTAATTTGCAAATATTTAAATTTTTAAATATACCCATTTATTTAACTTTGTAATAATACATTTATATCTGTATTTAAAAAATTTAAATCTAAATTTTTAATTTAATAAAAAATTTTAA